TTTAGGTATAGTGCTGCCATCCTGCATTCTAAGGAGCATGCTAGCAGTCTTTCTTCCAAGATAGTGTGTTGACTCCTTTGACTGTCTACTGCATATTCAATATTCTTCTCTAGCCATATTTTGAATGCACCAATTCTTCAGGCTTCCTTATTCATTGTCCAACTTTCACATGCTTTTGTTGTTGTTGTTTTTGTGTGCAACTGAGTCGACTACTCAAGTCATAGTGACTCTATAAACAACAGAGCAGAACCTTATCCTACTCTGTACCTCTCTACCCGTCTTGGTCTTGGTCATGGTCAAGTTCACTGTTAAAAGTCACTGCATCAATCCATCTTGCTGAGGGTCTTCCTCTGTCCCTCCACTTTTCCCAGCATGCTGCCTTTTCCCAAGGACTAGCCTCTTCTGACAACACACGCCCAAAGTATGTGAGACAGATTTATACCACCATTGCATCCAAGGGGCACTCTGGCTGTACCTCCTCCAAGACATGCCTGCTTGTTCTTTTTGGAAGTCCTTGAGATATTCAGTATTGTTTGCCAACACAACTAAAAACAATGAGGTGACTGAAAATATCATGGCTTAAGTCAGGCACACCTTAGTCCTCAAAATGACATCTTTGCTTTTTACACAGTAGAGGTCCTTTGTGGATTTTCTTAGTGCAATGTCACCCAATTTCTTGATGGTTTCCATAAAGCTTCTTGGTGGTGCAGCCAATAAAGCAACTGACTGAATGAAAAAGCACGCTGGGTGATTTGAACCCAGCATTTGTGGCTGTCTGCTTTCATAAAGATTTACAGTCTTGGAAACCCTACTGGATTACTATCAGCATCAGCTTGAGACAGTGTGTTTTTGTTCCCTCCCTCACCCCAACCCCACTATTTCAGTTCCGTGGGCACTGATTTTGGAAGAGCAGATTAACACTGTGGAACAACAGACAAACCCTTGTCCTCTTCTGCACCATCCTCACAGTATCTACCATGCCCACAGTTGCTGTCACTGGTTTTGTATATATGTTCTTATTCATATTGAAGAATTTCCTTTGTATTCTCTTGTTGAGCATTTTTTCATCAGGAAGGGGTTGAATTTTGCCAACTGCCTTTTGTTCATTGTCCTAGTTCGGGCATTCTTCTCCTTTGTTTTACTGATGTAGTGGACTACACTGATTGTTTTTATGTCAAACCATCCCTTCATACTTGAAACCAACCCAATAGGATCAAGATGTATTATTTTTTAATTTTAGATTATACAGACTAGAATTTTGAGGATTTTTGCATATATGTTCATCAGAGATATTGTATGTAATGTTTAGAATAATCTTTTCCTGGCTTTTGTATCAGAGTTATGCTTACCTCATAGAATGGCTGTGGGAGTGTTCATTTTTCTATAATTTTGCAATAGTTTGCATAGAATTGGCATCAGTTCTTCTCTGGATGTTTTCTAGAATTTGTGGGGGAAGCCAGGACTTATTTCGGTGGGGAAAATTTTCTATGACCTGTCCAATTGGAGCTCTTATGTTGAATCTGTTCAAATGTTCTGCTAGCGTAGACAGGCAGCGAGCTTCTAAAAATGTCTTCATTTCCTCGAGGTTTTCCAGTCTGTTATAGATCTTTCTAACATTTTGTTATTACCCTTTCTGTTCCAGTTTGTTCTGACATCCCATCAGCACTTTGTTCCTTATTTGCTTTATTGACACATTTTGATTTTCCTTTGTTAAATTTGCCAGCGACTTCATTTTTTTTTAAACATTTAAAATGTGTATTCATTAAGTCACAGCAGTTCGATACACACATTGTGGGGAAATATACAGCCCACTTTCTCAAACTTCAGGAAGAAGACCTCAGGGATTTGGCAAGCCATTGGCTGTCTCATGATCATGAAGGAGGAATCAAATTCTAGAAGTGATGTTTCGTGTTGTTAGTTTCTCTAACTAATCACTGTGTGGATTCTGATAGGCAATGCAGATGTTACTGCAGCTAAAACCATCAATTTTGGCATATTTCTTGCCATGATTGTAAGGCAGAGAGAATGGGCTCTGGCACTCTCAGCTATCTCTAGAAACCAGCCAGTTAGAAAGAATGCAGTCTGTTCTTTAGGATTTGGTGATTTTATCAATTCTTTCAAAGAATCAACTTCTAGTTGGTTCCATTTTTGGGGGGCTTCATTTATTTCTGCTCTTAGCTTTGTTACTTCTTCTGTTCTAGAAACTAGAAAGTTTCCTGCTGATTCTTTTTCTAACTATTGGAGATGTTAAGGTATTGATTTTGGTTCTTTTTTTGATATGTTTATTGCTATAAATTGACACCTTAGTATGCCTTTACTGTGTCCCAAAGCATTTGTTTTTATTCTCCTTTGCTGCAAGACAATTTTAATGTTTAATTTCTTTTATTACCGAGTACGGAGCTCTAGTGGCTTCGTAGGTAAGGAGTTGCACTGCCAGTGTAAATGCAGGTGGTCCGGATCTATGGCTGCTCCCTTGGGAGGAAGATAAGTCATCGTCCGTGCTGTTTACACCCTCTGAAAAGCCACTGAAGGGTCAGGTAGGAGTTGATGCTGACTCAACAGCACATACCAACAAGAAAAATCATAATGTTGTCTATTGATCCAGTGGTGAGGATTTTTGTCTTGAGATGTTTTGCTGTTGAGATGCAAGCCAAGGGTGGTAAGGGTGGAAAGAATAAATTTTAACACAGGAAAAAACTCCCAAGAAATGCAGCTATTGTTCTTTAGTGACAGGTACTGATAATGGCACCAAAGAGAATTCATGTGAGTTAAAAAAAAAAAGCCACTGACTTGAAAGATGGTCATGATATTTAAACTCTGTAGGGAATGGGTCTTTACATTTGTTTTCATGAACTTTATTTCCAAATTGAAGGGCAGTGTATACAAAGATAGCAGAGCTTGTGATAATTTACAGAAAAGTTTGCTCCAACATGCACATTATGAAGTGTTCCAAACATATACATATTAGGCTTCATGCTAAATAAATAATCCCCCCAAAATTATCTTTTATTTTTACATAAAAATATATTGCACTCTTAATAAGACCAGTTATTTTGCATATTTTTTCTCTTTACATAAGTGATGAAATTCAGCCTTAGAAAAACCCACCAAAAACCAAAAAGACTGAGTGGCACCCCTATTGTAAGAGGGGCTTCATTTAAACTCCCAGGCAAAAATGAAAGCCAGGTGGTAGCTGCAATTGTTTATAAACAAATAAAATCACTTCAACGTGAATAGAAATAATCTTATCTCTGCATGTTCTTGGACCTTGGAAGTGACCCTCTCTCTGCCTGTGCAAACCTGGCTCTAGCCCCAGCTGGGCCCTGCTCTTCACTGCACGCCTTCACTCACGCCCACAGGCATTTGCTTCCTCCTGTTCTACTTGGGACAGCAGAGATTTTGGAATTATATTTCAGACAGTTTTCAAACAGAATGTTTAGAAAGTCTGGAAATTACAAAAGTAATTCTGTAAACAGCATATGAATTAAAGTTTCACCGCAAACGCACAGCTTATTCTTAGGTATACACCTTTTTTCCATGGTCACGCATTACTGAGCTTGTTCTGCAGGGATTTCAGAGCAGCACCTGACTGAGAACAGCTGTGATGTCACAGAGAAGCCGTGGGAGGGAATGCTCAGGGGATGGAGGTTAGTCACACAGCAGATACTGTGTCCCAGATGAAGTACCCTGCTTCCTGTTTAAAACAGAGGAAGTGAACTCCTTTGCTTTTCTGATTCCACTTTGGGGCTGAAACCTTTCCCTGCACATTAGTGTAAATATCTTATCTAAACTGTACGATTAATATCTGTGCCAACTTTTTGCATAGTGGAAGCTCTCTGTGGCAGACTGTTAAATATTCCATCACCTATGAATGGCAGGTATTAAATGAATTCTGTGTTTAAACCTTAATGATTCAACCAGGGCTATCCAGTGGCTAGTGTTATGGACTTAAATGAAGACTTTAATGCCTTTGAGTTGTGGTGCTGAAGAAGAGTACTGAATATACCAGGGACTGCTAGGTGAACAATTAGGTCTGTCTTGGAGAGGGTGAAACCAAGTTTCTTCTTGGAGGCTAGAATTTTGGAAGGCGACCTCCATCTCACATACTTTGGGCATGTGGCCAGGAGGGACCAGTCCTTTTAGAGGGTCATCATGCTTAGAAGGGTGGAGAGACAGCGCAAAAGAGGAAGACCTTGGATGAGATGGACTGACATGGTAACTGGGGCAATGGGATTGGGTGTATCAGAATCAGTGGGTCTGGCTTAGGATAGGGCAGGGTTCAGAGCTGTTATACAAAGTGTCCCTATGAGTCGTGGATGACTCGATGGCATGTAACAACAACTACAAGACTTTTATGAAGAACAAGATGTGTCTGAAATCAAAGATACCTGCATTCTGTGGCTGTCAAACAATTCTTGCTAAGAAAGCAAGCTGGCAGAACTTGCCAACATGGACTCTCCTCAGTAGTTTATTTTTAGTATCAGATATTCTATAGGATGTTTGGTGCAGAGGCACCTACTGCAGAATTTGCTTCTCAAAGAAAGCAATTATTGAGACCTGAATTCTTTCTCTTTTTCACTCTTTTTTTTGGGTGAGGGTGGGTGATGCGAGGCGATACTATCTCAGGACTGAAATCTTCTAAAATAGAACGTGTTTTTAGGAGTACTTTTGTATAAATTGTTATCCCAAGCTACATACTTCTGGTCCTTTCTGGGATAACAGACAAACGAGCCCCCAATCCTTCCACTGTGGGAAGAACTTTAAGCAGAAGTGTTCACTTTACCACGCGAGACCCCAGCTTGTTGGTTCAGACATGCCAACCTGACCTTCCCTGGTCAGAATGACCATGGCTCGGACCCTGTGGGCTCTGGGAAGTGGGCAGGTGAGCAGTCACTGTCGGGGCAGGAGGGTACAAGGAGTCACCCGTGCCTTCTGGAAGCAGGAGGGCCACAGATGCTGCTGGAGGTAAAGTGCTTGGAGACAGGCGAGGCCCCTCAATCTCAGCCAGCTGCATAGCTACTGAGGAAGGAGTAGAACATGGGATGCTTCAGGCGCTGCTGGTCCTTTCGACACCACGCGATCACAGTGCCCTCACTGTTAGCCGTGTACAGGTGGTGGCCATCACAGGAGAAGGTGAGGCTGCAAAGGAAACCCAGCTTGTGAGCTTTGTGCTGGAACACTACACAAGGGATTGCAAAGGGCTCAGCTCAAGAGCTTTGTCTCTTTTCACTCCACCACACAGAGGTGAGCGTGAAGACCTTATTATCGTCACAGGATTCTGCTGTGCTGTGTGCCTTGAGTTGGAACCAACTCATAGCAGACTCTCCAGCGAGTTTTCAGAGGCTGTAAATCACATACGAAGAGGCTGCTCATTTTTCTCCTGAGGAGCAGCTGCAGCTACTGGATTCGACCACTTGCCTTTGGGCTGGCAGCGCACTCCTTACCTTGATGCACCAGAGCTCCATCACTGGAGCTTAAAGCTATCAAGGAAATGGCTGTGGATAACTCACTGTTTAAAAGTAATTCCAATACAGTGAGCTATCATGATGATACATGTTTAAAGCTAATTCTAAGTAGGCAATGTACAATAAAAGCCAGGACCAGAAGATTTAAAAGCTAAAAGAGTATCAGATTTTTTTCCTTTTAGAAATAAAATATTTCACAGAGAGATTTTATTTCCCTGCAAAAAAAAAAAGGTAATAAATTAATTTAAGTTCACTAAAATTTAAATTTGGTATACTGACAAGAAACTGATATTGATAAAATACAACTGGAATAATTTCCAGTTGAATTCTTAAAGTCAGATTGTTTGTGTACCTAGCAAAGGACTGTTGTTGTGTGCTGTCTGAAGATGCCCAGCTCATAGTGATTCTATGTGATGGAGAAGTGCCCACAGGACTTCCCAGGACGCACTCTACCTCATGGAGAGAAAGTGCACGCAAGGATTTCCCAGGATGCACTTTACCTCATGGAGAGGACGTGTCCATAGGCTTTTTCAGGATGCACGCTATATGATGGAGAAGTGTCCACCTGATTTCCCCAGGATGCACTCTGCATGATGGAGAGGAAGTGCCCACAGGATTTCCCAGGATGCACTCTTTATGGGGGTAGATTCCTAAGGTTTTATCCAGCAGAGCCTCTGCTGGGCTCAAACAGCTGATCTTTCAGTTAGCCTGAGAGCTCAGTGAGTGTCCAACAGGACTCTGTCATAGTGACATATTTCCTTTACAAGAAAGGAAATAAAGTTTCCACAGCTGAAGACAGTGTTTTTAGGCATCCTGCTAGCATGCCTTTCAACTAGACAGTATGTTCCTGATTTAAATGTCAAGCTCCAAGAAAATAAGGATGGTGCTGTCTCCTGACATGGGGTCATAGGCAACTTGGTATTTAAAAATCGCCCTAACATAAATGTAATACGTCCTTGTGGCACACTGTGTACTCTCGGGCTGACAAGCAGAAGGTCTCCAGGATGAACCTCCGAGTCACCCACAGGAGCAGGATGGGCAGTCTCTTCTCATAAAGATTTACATCCTCGGGAACCCGGTGGAGGGCTGCTGTGAGTGGAGTGAACTCTGCAGCAGAGGGTAAGCAGAAACATCAGTCATAAAATACAATAGGAAGAATCAGAGTATTTTACCTGACAATTGGCTTGTGTGACTTAGGAAACGTGATTTCCCGAACCGGTTTCAAGTCCCATGTGCTCCACAACCTAGGGTGAAAAGCTGTCATTACATTCTGCAGACAAAAATGGCCCTTCCTAAAATCCCCACATATTCATTTCTTTGTTAAACACCATCTGGGAGGAAGAAAAGTCTCAATTAACTGCAGCCACCTCTGGACAGCTCACTTGGAGTGCTGGGAGGAAGAGAACTTTATACTTCATACTTTATACACTTTACACCGATAGTCTTTGGCAGTTAGCAAACTCTATACCATTTAAAAATGGCAAGAAAGCTATTTTCATTAACTAGAAATAAGGCAGAAAAAAAAATTTTCAGAACTTATATGCAAGGTGATTTTCAATTCTCGATACTAAAGTTCTATGCCCAAGTATTAAAAACTAGGCACGGAATGGCAGGAGAGCAGAAAGGAGAAGTGGAATGGCTCTTACCGCACAATCCCATTTTCTAAGCCCCCAGCAATCACGTTGACCGACACTCCCTCGGGCTGGTTGGAGAAAGCCACTGAGCAGATGATCTCCCTGCAGTGGACGTGTCCAACGAGGTCCCCATTAACAGTCCACAGTCGAAGGTCACTGCCTCCGCCAGCTGAAACAACAAGCCACTGACTGGTCCCCAGGATGGCCTGCCTTGGAGCCCCAAGCCCCCCCACATAGGGCCCGGGAAGGGAGTGCCTGCCTGTAGGCTCACTAGCTTCAGTGCTGATGCGGATAAGCACCCACAAAGGGCAGGTGAAATCACCCCTCTATAAGCTGCATGGAACTTTGCTAATTTATCCAAACACATCACCACTGGGGGCTGGCGTGATCACAATGTAAAAAAATGGAAGTGAATCATGAACCTGAGAAATCAATATCTCACTAAATAGGCTTTTCATTTTCGAAGACCACACTGTAAGCAGACTTGGGTGTTCCAGAAGGGCTGGAGGTCTGAGGCCTCCTAGCAATATGGCTGGCCTCCTTGTGGAAATGTCCTCATGCTGCTAAAGGAAAGGCTTAAGACGATGTCAAGTTACACTGACACAGCCTCACCATGTTTAATTTTCTCTTTCCAATACAGCTAGCATAAAACAGAATCTTTTTTCTCTCCTTTATTAAGGTGCTGACAATATTTTATATTTTGAAATCAATATTGGAAATGCTTCTTGAAGGATATGCTGAATATCAAGGATATACCTTGAAACATCACCACCCTAATGCTGGGTGTTCTAAGACTTCCCACAGCTGATGACCGAGTGTCGTATCATAGATGATGTTAAATCACACCCACAATGCCAACTCAGAGCACCACAGGTAGAAACTGTGGCCCAGGATGGCTAAGGAGGTATGATTTAGCCAGTTGCAGAACACAGGAGATTCAGAATTCAAAGGTAATACACATGACAACAGCAACCCCTTCCCTTGCTTAGGACACACTTTACTCCTTTAAGTTTAATATCTAATAAAAGATGAAATGGAGCCCTGCTGGCCCAGTGGCAAGAAGCAGCACTGCAATCCTGAAGGCACACAGTTCAAGGTTACCAGGTGCACTGCAGGAGGATAGGCAATTTCTCTAGTGTAATTAACTGTCTCCGAAAACTCACTGGAGGGTCAGCTATGGGTCAGTTCTGATTCTATGGTATGTGATGACAACAACAATAATGAATATAAAAGATTAAAAAATTTAAAAAGGCAAAGTAAAAAAAAAAGGTTAGAAAGCTTGTACTGACACATATCATAAAGATATTAATTTTGAAGCTCGGCATTTTAACGCATAGCTCCTGAATGGTTTAATCTGTTTGAGTCCTGCTCCTGGACAACGTGAAGCATGGTTTAGTAGGAAACAGCCAACAGTTACCCTAGAAATCACTAGCAACTTGTACTGCAATTAAACCAAGTAGCTACTCATCTGCCTAAGAAGTAAGTATCAAAATCAAGACGTTCGCTCAATACACGGTACAGAATACATTCAATCCAAAGTCAGAGAGCCAGGCATTCCTTAAAAACAAAGCAAAACCCTCCACTAAAATACACACTCTTCTCTTCTTGTACACACTTACAAGAATGAAAAGGAATGGGGGAACTGCCCATGGTGCTGAATGCCAAAGTTTGGGCGACTAAGTTCTCAAACACTGCTGCAACTCTGAACCGACTGTGGTGTGTTCCCTTAGTTCAAAGGCATATCTACCTCAGGTACTAGAACAAATGTGTGTGAGGTTGGGTTTTTTTCCTTTTTAATTCCAGAAACCACCTACTACAACACGTTCACAGTTTTTAAATAACTTTCACATTTCTTCACTATAAAAAGCGAACCTCATAAAAAACACCAACAAGTTTTATGAGCAGGAAGAATGTTTTTAATAACTCTAACTTCAATTCCAGTAAAAATTTATTTCAGGTTTTATATATACATTTATAAACTACATATATTTGTCTGTTGTTATATATCATCTCAAAAATACTAAAAATACTAAAAACCAGATCTCTAGATCTTTTAAAAAAGTAATTTTATTGTCTTCTGTGATAATTCTTTCCATGTCTTTTGCCCATTTTGTAATTGGATTATCAGTCTTTTTCTTGTGGAGGCCCAAGAGTATTCTGTAAACTTCTGCTATAAGACTCTTGTCTGAGATGGTATTACCAAATGTTTGCTCCCAGTCTGTATGTTTTCTTTTCACCCTGTTGGAAAAAAGTTTCTGATGTGCATAGATATTTAATCTTTAGAAGGTCTCATGCATCAGTTTTATCCTCTTTAGACTGTGAATTTCTGGTTGTATTTGGCAGTCTCTTTATACCTTGGACTAGTGCTTCTAAGCTTGATCCCAATTTGTCTCTTAAAAATGTTATAGTTTTGGGCTTTACTCCCAGGTCTCTGATCCACCTTGAGTTGATTTTTGTGTATGGTGTGAGATGTGGATCCTGTTCAGCTTTTTGCAGGTGGAAGTCCAGTTTTGCCAGCACCATTTGTTGAAAAGGTTATCATTTCCCCATTTGATAGCTTCGATTTCCTTGTCAAATATCAGTTGACCATAGATAGCTGGGTCTATTTCTGGATTCTCAATTCTGTTCCATTGGTCTATGTATCTGTCATTGTATCAGTATTATGCTGTTTTGATTACCACTGCAGTACAGTAGGTTTTAAGATCAGGGAGTGCTATGCCTCCAACCTCATTTTTGTTTCTCAGAAGTGTTTTGCTTATTTGGGATCTCTTGGCTCTCCAAATAAATTTGATAATTTCCCTTTCAATCTCCTTGAAAAATGAATTTGGTATCTGGATTGGGATTGCACTGAACATGTAGATTGCTTTTGGTAGGATTGTCATTTTCACCATATTGAGTCTTCCTATCCATGAACAGGGCACATTTTTCCATTTCGTTAGGTCTTTTATTGTATCTTTCTGAAATGCTCTATAGTTTTCTTTGTATAGATCTCTTGTATCTCTAGTTACATTCATTCCCAAATATCTTAAACAGACACATGAAGAAATGCTCCAAATCACTGGCAATAAGAGAGATGCAAATCAAAACCACAATGAGGTACCATCTCACTCCAGTAAGACTGGCAAAGTTTAATAGGGCAACAAGTAATAGATGTTGGAGAGGATGTGGCAATAAAGGAACTCTTCTTATACATTGTTGGTGGGATTGTAAAATGGTGCAACCATTCTGGTAGGCAATTTGGCACTTCCTTAAAAAGCTGAACAGAAATTCCTTATGACTCAGCTATTCCACTACTTGGAATATACCCTGAGAACATGAGAACTGAGACACAGACTGAGATTTGTACACCAGTGTTCATAACAGCATTATTCATCATCACAAGAACAGCCTAAACGTCCAACCACAAATGAATGGATTGAGAAATTATGGTACATTCACACAATGGAATTACTATGCAGCATGCAGGAGCAATAACTTTGTAAATTAATTCCTAACTTGAGAGGGACTGGAGAGCATTATTGCTGAGTGAACTAACTCAGTCCCACAAGGATAAATACTGTGTAAAACCGTTAATGTAGAATGAGTATAAGGATCCAGGAGGGGTAGGAGAGGCTGGAAGCAGCGGGGTGTGGATGTGCAGGGGGAAAGGGGGGATTAATCAATGGGTTGTACAATTTGATGGGTGGGGGGGGTGAGGGAAAGTAAAAGAATTTGTTCAAATTTATACTAGAATTTTGTAAATAAACTAGTAGGGGAAAATGTGTATGCATGAAACATACTGTAAAGATATTACTATATGAAAATCAATAAAAAATATTTAAAAAGGGTAATTTTACCCAAGTAAATTTACCTGTGGTGGTGCTGGGGCTAAGGCATTTGTCTGCTAACCAAAAAGTCAATAATTTGAACCCGCCAACTACTCCCTGGGAGGGAGAAGGGACAGTCTGTCTCTGCAAAGGTTGACCACCTCAGAAACCCCAGGGGACAGAGCCACCCTGTTCACATGCCTGGGAGAAGAAAGAATTGTCCTAGTGAAAATGGGCTTTTTGGTTGTTGTTCTTCTGTGTGTGTGAATGTGTGTGCATATGTCTGCATTTTTTTTCTTTAATTTTCATTTTATGTTGACTTACATGGCACTGCTAAAAGGGTCAAGATTTTTGGTGGGCTCAGTTTGAGAACTTCCCTTTTGGCCTATGAGAATAGAAGGATGTACTTTAGTCTGAGCCACTAAATATAAATTCGGCTTCACTTTTAAAAAAAATCATTATTTTGACTATGCTTTTATACAGGCAGTTTCCAGGTTACAAAAGTTAGATTTGAAACAACCAAGTCAAGGATAATTCCTAACTGCCATTTGCTGTTGCTATTGCTAAGGGCCGATGAGTCAAGTAAGACCCACAGTGACCCAGTGAACAGCAGATCTGAACCCTATCCTGTCCTATCCTGTGCCATCCTCACAATCTCTGACACACCTGAGCCCATTGCTGCAGTCTCTGTGTTAATCCATTTGGTTGAGAATCTTGTAGTTTTCTGCTGACTTTCTCTAAGGAACAGCCTCTTCTAGCAACATGGTCAAGGTATGAGAGACAAAATGTATTTAATCTTCATTTTGAAAGTTGTTAACCAACCCCTAAACCAAGTTCAACCTGATGTCCGGGAATCGGTTCCGGTTTGTGGCAGTTCCCCACTGGGTTTCTGAGCCTGTAGATCGATTTTTAAAAATTTCTGTATAATGATTTGGTGAGCTCTGGTGGCCTGGTGGCAGAAACCTATACTGAAATCCCAGAGGTAAGTGGTTCAAATCCACCAGATGCTCTGCTGGAGAAGGAGGGACAATCTCCTCCTGTACCGTCAGATCTGATTTGATGGTACACACACACACACACACACACACACACACACACACACACACACATGTATAATGATTCATTGCCAACATATCCTTTATATTTTTAATTAATATTTTTATAATTTATATACATTATGTTTCATGCATGTACACTGTGTTTTCTACAACCTTTTCTTTACATTATATTTTATTGAGACTGTCATTCTTAATGGGATCAGATTGCCTCATCTTCCCCTGGATTTGAATCACCAACACCTTACACATCACACCACCAGGATTCCTTGAACTAACCCTGCTGACAACAAATATTTCATCACCATGACGTTGACTTGCTGTACATACTGCTTTTAAACCAGTGAAAGGTTTTGAGCCTTTGGACTTACCTACAAATTCTGAAAGACTCAGGAATGCACTTGGTTCATAACTAGAGACTCCTGAAGTATCAAATGCTCTTGATGAAATCTTTTACATATATGTACCAATGGCCTCAGAAAACTGAGAAAGTATTTTTTCTCAAATTGGCAAGAAGAGTTATGCCCATTACTCTGTTATTCTGTGGGCTGTCCAGGGACACCAGAACACTCTTCCAGTCAATTAGTCATTGCAGCAAAAAGTAATTTTACTTTCTTTTCCCACATGACTAACTGATACAACATCATAGTTATAAATCACTCCTGCCAGCAACAAAGTAATTACAGAATTCACCCTCTCAGGATCAGTCCTCACTTTCAAATGATAACAAGCACTGCAGAGAGAATGCCCTAGAAATATTTATTAAACCCCAGCATCCTTGTTGGTGTTACCACGGAATGCTGCTAATGCACAAGTCATGGAAGGACAACCAGCAAAGCCATCACTCCTCTGCTCAGTTCTCTGTTATCACAACCCAAACCCCAAACTCTATCCTGGGGTCAAGTCTGACCCATGGAGACCCTTCAGAGAAAGCAGAGCAGTCTCCCAGGATTTCTGAGGCCACAGACTTACAGATATGCACTGCTGCATCTTTCTTCCAGGCTGTGGCTGGTGGATTCCAACTGCCAACCCTGTGGCTGGCAGCAAAGCAATTTAACCACTGCACCACCTGGGCTCCTTTCTGTCACCTAAGCTGACTGTGCAGAATCTCCTCCCTCACACCTGGTCACCAGGACATAAAAACGTTCTCATGATGTGATTTCCTCACAGAGGGCTTGGGGCCACCAACGCTTCCGCTTCTATCACCTTTAAGCATAACTGCAGACGTTACTCTTACTGAATACAAGAATGAATAGAAGTTTTGTAAAACAAACAAAAGAAATAAAAAGTTACTCCCCAAAATGAGATATCAAAGAGCAAGCAAAGGCTATAAGACTACTTGCTACAGACCTGTCAAAGACATTTTCTAATGACAATAGGCAATACACAATTTTTGAAAGGATTCTTTCAATTTTAAAAGACCTCTAAGAAGTAGGAGTGGCATCCATTTCCTAAACAATATGCCTCTGAAAACTCTATGAATTTTGAGAAATGACGATTTGCTTCAGGTCTTTTGTCCATAGGATTGCTATGAGTCATGTTTAAAGCAATGGTAATCAACAACAAGAAGAAGGAGAAATATTACCAGAACACTCAGAACATTTTTGACTTCTCTGTCCTGGAGGCACTGGAGGGCACAGCTAGGGGCTTCTAACATGTTCGCAACATCAACGCCATCAAGTCAGAACTGACTCAGAGCTGACACTCTGCTGAGCTTCTATGGCTGTCAATCCGACAGATGGAGCCTGCCCAATGTTCTCCCAAGGAACAACGAGTGGGTTGTAACCTGTGGGTTAACAGCACAACTCCCTGCCTTACCAGAGCTGACTTTTTAGAATATATGAATGTAGGTAGAGAGAGAGTATGGTGATACTTCATAGACTAAGATATTATTTATATAGAATATATATTGTTTATACACATATATATGTCTTTATATACATTGTTTTTGCTAAGTGCCATCGAGTCGAGTACAACTTATAGTGACCCTATGAACAACAGATCTGAACCCTGTCATATCCTGTGCCATCCTCAAAATCTCTGACACACTCGAGCCCACTGTATGTGCTGTTGTTTTTATTATGTGCTGTTGAGTTGCCTGTGACTCATAGCAACCCTATGTACAACAGCTCTGAAGCCTGCCCTGTCCTGAACCAGTCTCACTGACTCCGACACACCTATTCCCATTTTCCCAGTTACTGTATCAATCAATCTCATCCAAGGTCTTCCTTTCCTGTGCTGTCCCTTCACCCTTCCAAGCATGATGTCCTTTTCCAAGGATTGGTTACTCCTGGCCACATGCCCAAAGTATGAGAGATGGAGCTTCAAAATTCTAGTCTCCAAGGAGGAACCTGGTTTTACTCCAAGACAGACCTATTTGTTTTCCTGGCAGTCCATGGTATGTTCAAGACTCTTCTCCAGCACCACAACTCAAAGGCATCTATTTTTCTTCTGTCATCCTTAGTCATTGTCCAGCTCTCTGATGCATAGCAAGTAACTGAGAAGACCACGGCCTGGATAAGATGCACCTTAGTCTCTAGACAGACTTAGTTGCCTCTTGGTACTCTGGAAAGGTCTTTGACAGCAGATTTACCTAATGCAATCTGTTTTTAGATTTCCTGCCTACCGGTGCCAAGAATGTTGACTGTGGAGCGAGTAAGCTGTAGTTGTTAACAACCTCAATCTCTTCTCCATCCATCATGGTGCTGCCAATACGCCCAGTGGTAAGAATCTTTGTCTTCTTGATATTAAGCATCAATTCATATTGAAGACTACAGTCCTTGACCTTCTGCAGCAAATGCCTCATGTCCTCCTCAATTTTAGCAAGTAAGGTTGTATCACCTGCTCAATGTAGGTTGTTGATGAGTCTTCCTCCAATCCTGATGCCACACTCCTCCTCATAAAGCCCAGCCTCAAGAACAATCTGTCCTGCATAAATTGAAAAGGTATCAAGATAGAATGACTCTCTTATGCACTCCCTTTCTGAATTTGAACCATTGTGTGAGTACACACACACACACACACACACACACACACTCTCTCTCTCTCAATCTTGATCAAAGGAGATCTCTGTTTCCATCACATGATTTAGGCAAACTATCCCATCATGTTTTCAAGCCAAAGGTGGGTGACTCTACTCTGTGGCCCTTAGGCCTGCCTTTAATTGTTTTTGGTGAAACATTCTTCTAGGTCGTGTAACCCTGGTATGTCTACTTGCTGTACAGAGGTAACTTGTGGATGCTGTGAAGCCAAATACTGTTACCCTTGGTGGACAGTGTTTGGTGAAGCTCCCCGATTAAAACAAGCTTGGAAGCAGGAGTGGCATCCACTTCCACAATAGCTTGCCTCTGGAAACCCTATGAACCTGGAGAAAGGACTAAAATGATACGGGAAGTGTCCAGGACTTTCATTCATTGGGTCGCTATGAGTCGCCTGCGACTTGATGACACTTAACAACAACAACATCCCACCATGGGATCCCACACTCCCACTCCTACTTATATGTAATGATGTAATGTGGAACTTAAGTTGACATCTATGATCTGATAATCTAAACAGTTGTAAAAGGATTAGGATGATGTGAAACACTCTTTTTAAAATTTTTTTTAAACACTTTTAATCCTACCACAATACTGAGTTTCCTTAGGGTGTGATCTATAACACCTTTTATTTCACAAGAAGTAAGAAGGTGAAAGAGAACAGAGTGGGAACCTCAGAACCACTGAGACAGAAGCATCAGGAGTGTGGTGCAGTATATCTTCTAGATGCAGGCCATTTTATGAATATATTATATATAATAATATTATATATATAATATATATAATAAATATAAAGATATTATATTTGAATGTCAAATAAAGGTGAACTTGTGGCCTCCTGAGCTCTTGTAGCAGTTCCAATCAACCAGCTACAGTGAGTAAGAAAGATGGACTGTCAGAGCCGGCCCACAGCTGACCCTACAGCTAGAATACCTGCACAGGCAACTTTCCACTGGCCTCTGAAAACCAGCTCGAGGGTCAGCTATGGGCCAGTTACAACTCCTTGGCAATGAGAAAGAGAGAGAAACTGTAAGCAAATAAATATCTGTAAGCTGTAAGCAAATAAATGTCTGTTTGTGAAAGCCCACCAGTCTCGCTATTACAGCAGCACTAGATAATCAACACCCCCCTCATTTATCATTCTAAATATTATCTCCACTCAGGCATTGGACAAAAGAGATTCAAAGTCAGACATCTGCAACTGCTTTGAAGTTAGGTGGAAAGCAAGTAACAAAGTGGGCAGATAAAAATTAGAAGCAGAAAGAGTAACTCAGAGTTAAACAGTGACAGTATTAACTCTATGGAAACTGATGCCTAAATTGTTGGATTTGGTGTGGGGCCTGTTGTCCTTCAGTCCACACACATCACACATGCCCTGGATGAAGCATTTCCATCTGTCAGTGACTCTGCACGTAACATACAACAGACTCGGTGGGCGCAGCGAGCTGCTAGAGACATTGGGCTGTGAGCTCATGCTGGGGGCGCTCACCTGAGTCACACACCGTGGCTATGTCCCCTGTTGTCTCACTGGCAGAGACAGCGGTGACAGGGCTTTTGTGTCCAGCCAGACTTTGGACGTAGCACAGCCTGAAAGAGAAATGATTTGCGTTATACATGAGCGTCCAATGCAGTGGTATCCTTTTGTTTGGATTCTTTTCTCAGTGATGAATTTATGAGGCCTATTCTATGATGCTGAGCCGTAGTGCTGGAGGAGAGTACTGATATCCCAAGTGCTGCCAAAAGAACAGATATATCCTAGATGAAGCGCAGCCACAGTGCTCCTTGGAGGCAAGGATGTGAAACTTCATCTCTCATATTTTGGACACGTTGTCAAGAAGGGCATTCTTGGAAAAGGACATCATGGAGGGAAAGGTGAAGAGGAAAAGAGGAAGACCTTTAATGAGATGGACTGACACTATGAAAATGAACTCAGGGATGTCAAAGATGATGAGGATGGTGCAGGACAGGGCAAGGTTCAGAGTTGCTGTTCATAGGGTCACTGAGTCGCAGTAGACTCGATGCCATCTAACAATAACAACAAAGTGACATATTAATTAACTACAATTAAAAAGGTAAAGTCTGCATCTTATGTTTGAGATTATGAAGATAGAAAGATATAAAAATGTACCATTTCATGTGGTACGAATGGAAACATTTAAAACAGCTGTTTGAGCTCTGTACCTGTTTAAATCCCATATAATGCAGGTCCCGTCTTTGCTGACACTTATCAATATACTGTATGGTTTGCAAACAAATAAGCTGGTGATCTCTTCCGTGTGTCCATAGAGGTGTACCTGAGACTCCATTTCTATCTCTGATGGCTAAAACAGAAAGGTAAGGTAAAAACCACCACAAAGGCATCACAGAGAATATAGTATTACTTATTCTGTCAAACACATTTCAAGTCTATTTCAACATTTTAAAAGGATAAAACTAAATAAGACATTAAAAATTTAGAACTGCCCACAATTTCATCACCTAATATGATTTTCATTTGTGTCTATTAGCCTGTCTTTATATAAAACACATACATATTTATAATAGGACATCACCATACAAATAACTTTCTATTTTGTGATTTATGCATTTTCTACTTTTTCCATTGCCTTCAAACTAATTTTTAATGATGTTTAAATGTCCTATGTAGCTAGCATCCCTTCATTTTCTTGTATGTTCTTTATTGAACACTGCTTCAAGTTTTTTTCAAAATTATAGACAGATTATGCCATAAGTAAATTCATCACCTATCAAAGCTTTAGGGAGCTCTGGTGGCCTAGTGGCAAGAAGCTGTGCTGCAACCTGAAGGCACGTGGTTTGAATCCACCAGCTGCTCTGCGGGAGAAAGATGGGCAATATTCTTACGGGTGATTAACTGACTCTAAAAACCTACCAGAGGGTCAGCTCTGGGTAGGTTCCAACTCGATGGTACATAACAACAACATCGAAGCTCTGTTCTTATGAATTATTTCTTTAGGAAAAACTTTTAGGACATTACTATTGGGTCTGTGACTGGTAACAATTTTGTAATTTTTGACAGCATGCTTTTTAAGGAGTTGCATCAACTCACAACATTACAGTCATGTGTACCATCTATCCTGCTCTTACCACACATTTAGGGGTTTGTTTTCTAAGTCAGAGGCAGAACTTACGGTCTAGGGCAGACCATGCTCACAGATGCCTGGTGTCCCCACAGAGTTCGACCCTTTATTTTTCAGTATGTGAGATATTTATTATTAGAAAGTATTTCAATACTTAAAAAATAGAAAAAGCAGGAATAAAAGGTATGGTTAACATCTATATACTACTGAGTTAAAAAAATCTTAGCATTTTGTTGTATTAGTTTATTTTTTAAATAAACAACACATTAAACATGATTTGCAGTTTTTATACTTATTCTGCATCCTAACCTTCTCCCTCCCCTCAGAAACTACTGCCATATGAATTGCATATTTATGTTTCCTACGAAAGCTTTTATACTCCTACTCTATGCTAAATCAAATTTCACACCTAGCAACCCTCCACTGAGCTTCCAACACTGTACATTTGTGTACCGTCAAATCAGATCTGACTGGCACAGGAGGAAATTGTCCCTCCTTCTCTAGCTGGTGGATTCGAACTGTGCACCTTTGGGATTGCAGAACAACTTCTTGCCACTAGGCCACCAGAGCTCCCTAAGACTGTACATTTAATGAGAACCCACTTCTCATTATTCTTCCATGGAGTCCATGGTGGGTCCAAATCACAGAGCTTTCTGTTAGCAGCTCAACAACCATTATGTCACCTGGTGTGGCATCAAGATTAGAGAAAAACTCATTAATACCTATAATATGTAGACCAAATAACTTTGCTCACAGAAAGGGAAGATTTGAAGGACTTACTGCAGAAGATCAAAGATGATAGCTTTTAATATGGATTACATCTTAATATCAAGAAAACAAAAATCCTTAACCCTCAACTAACAGGCAACACTGTGACAGAAGGGGAAATTATTGAAGTTATCAATAATTTAATTTTACTTTGATCTATAATCAACACTAATAGTAACAGTAGTCAAGAAATCAAAAGATATACTGCATTAGGCAAGTCAGCTGTCAAAGACCTCTTTAAAGTGCTAATGAGCAAGGACATCAGTTTAAAGACTAGGGTGCACTTAATTCAAGCCATGGTCTTTTCAATTGCTTGGTAAGCATGTAAAAGTTGGACAATGAATAAGGGAGAATGAAGAAGAAAGAATACCACTGAATTCTGATGTTGGCAAGGAGTATTGAATACTCCATGGACTGCCAAAAGAACAATCAGGTCTGTCTTAGAGTAAGTACAACCATAGTACTCCTCAGAGGTAAGGATGGTGAAACTTCGTCTCGTATACTTTGGGTATGCTGTTAAGAGTCCTTGGAGAAGGACATCATGCTGAGAATGGTGGAGAGTCACAAAAGAGAGGAAGACTCTCAAAGAGGATTGAGACAGTGACTATAACAATGGGGTTATGCATGGGTGAGATCGCAAGATGACCCGACAGGGCAAGGTTCAGATCTGTTGTTTAGAGGGCTTCCAATGTATCCTCAACTTCACCATAGATGGTTGATTCCAGAAAGGAAAGACAATAAATGGATCAAGTATTAAATAATGCTTCACCTTTAAATTTTCAAGTCCTAGCAGTAATAACTGAAAAAAAAAAAAGAATTCCAGTAAGTGATAGAATAATGATAATACACACAGATCGGATGGAAAAGGTGCTGATTAGGCACTCGAAGTTTTCCTGCTAGAGACAATGTGGTGCACTCTTTAGCATCAACAAACAATGAAAGACCCTAAATATGAAACACAGCCTAACCCTAGATACTGTTACTTAATAAACAGGGAGGAAAAAAGAAAGCTCTCATAATTATTTCTGTAGGTTACCTGGATCCTCATACACCTTAATGAAAAGCTTCCTCTGTGATGTTCTGCATTTTAAGGGCTCATGTAGGGGACCAGAGGGAAGGATAAAATATTGCTTTTGAAAGCTACTCCTATAAAAACCACTTTTTGCCACACCCAGGATCCCTTTACTGCACTGAAGTACAGGGCCCAGCACCTGTGGGGTGGGCACAGGCGGCTGTGTAGAGACAGATACAGGCGGACGTGGGCTTACCGTGCTATTGGAGAGCCTGTTGGCATAGGCGGTGATGACACCACATCTGCTTCCGGTGAACAGCTGGCAACTGTCAGGGACCCAGGCACAGCTAGTCACCTATGGAAGAGGACAAATCAACAGTTATCAGGGTTAAAAAAGCTTGAAAACACATCTATTTTCTGAGAACTCTGTGAAGAATGTGTAATCACAAAATCAAAGGTCAATATTTTCCTTGAAATGGTTAGAACGGCGCCAGCCACGGGAATAGACTATTCTGTAACTTCCAGCTGGGCATCTAAAAATTGTTTTAAAAATGAAATTGCTGGTAAGAAGCTGCACTGCAATCCCAGAAGTACGTGGTTTGAATCCACCAGATGCTCTGCTGGAGAAGGAGGGGGTAATCTCCTCTTGTACCAGTCAGATCTGATTTGACAGTACACACACACACACAAAATAATGAAATAAAATTAAAAAAAAAAAAAAGAAATTGCATCACAGTGAAGCCTATGACTTCACATTTCCCTGTATGTAAATACATGGCTGTGTGTTCCACAGAGAGAAATAATTTATGAGTAGATTCAAGGCTTTGTTTCAATTATATCTGAAATGGAAATCCAAAACCTCTGTAAAAAAAATAAAATTTAGATTAAAATGTTAAGATTAAAGTTTTAAGCATTTTTTAAAAAAATCAAACTTGTTTTAATTGTTAACCCACTATTGCACGTTTTCATCTCCCTTCCCCTTATCCTCCCCATAATGCACCCTTTGTTCTAGACTGCTGTCAGATATATCATGTCGAATCATATTCCTTTTGGACAGTTCCTCCCCTCATCTGTTCTACTGCAGTGTTCCTTATTTATCTACTCTTTTCCTATTCTCTCCCCAATTCCCCATGTCTGTCCTATTTTATAACAGTGGTGTTATGCAGTTTTTGTCCTTTTGTGATTGAGATATTTCACTCAGCATAATGTCCTCCTCCATGTTGTGTAATGTTTTACAAGTTCATTGTTTTTCAGTGCTGTGTAATATTCCATTGGGTGACTGTACCATAGTTTTTCTATCCATTCATTTGGTGATGAGCACTTGGGTTGTTTCCATCTCTTTGCTATTGTGAATAACACAGAAATAAACACTTCAACAAGGAAAAGGTAAACAACCCAATCATGAAATGGCCACAGGATATGAACAGACAGACACTTCACCAAAGAAGACATTCAGAAAGCAAATAAACACATGAAGAAATGCTCAAAATCCCAAGCAATCAGAGAGATGCAATTAAAACAACTATGAGATATCATCTTACCCCAGCAATAATAGCATAGTTCAATAGGGCAACAAACAACAAAGGCTGCTGAGGCTTTGGAGAGATTGTAACTCTAATTCACTGCTGGTGGGAGTGTAAAAAGGTACAACCAATACAGAAAGTCTGGTGCTTTCTCAAAATGTTTGAAATATAAATACCATTTGACCCAGCAATTCTACTACTGGGAATATACTCTAAAAATAGAGCCACACTCGACACACCCACAACAACAACAACATGCCACGAAGCTTCATCCGCTCTGCCTCCAAGGAGCACCCTGTTAATAAATGTCAATTCATATTCTTAAAAAAAAAATAGAGCCACACTCAAGGAGATGGATGCACACTCGTGTTTAATCTACTTTTTACTTTTAATGTCTGGGGGGATCTTCTGTCTCTAGCAGTTTTCATTACTGTTACGTAGGAGAAGGAGGAAGAATGGATGGGAAGGAACTTGAACCCTCTGTCATAAGAGCAGGCAGGCATGGAGAACCACACAGGGCCCCACGAGGCCAGTTCAGTGCCAGCTCTGCCACTCCCAGGACTCCTGCTCACAACAGCTGTTCCAGACACACCACGCCACTGAAAGAATGGGAGGCCTTGGCCAAGCCTTCTCCTCTTCCCTCCTTACTACTCCTGGCTTGGAGGAGGGCATGCAGGTACAGCCTGGCCCTGCCTCACCTCCAATCTCCCCGAGGCAACTTTTGCTCACTTCTTTCCTTGGCCCCACAAATGTCTGGTGAGAAAATGGCTTTCATGGGTGATGCCTCCTCTTAACTCTCAATTTATCAACAAGGGCCACTGGGTCCAATTCTGATTTTTACTTTATTTGAGAGCAGGTTTGGTTATCAGGATGGATATTTCATTACTTTTATTCTTTCTTAGAGTTTCCCAAAGAACAAAATGTATATACAAATGCATTTTGTCTTGCCCAATGAATCCTTTAGAAAACATATTCCACATTACAGCATATATATATATTTAATATATAATATGCTAATAATATTTTCCCTTTATCTTATTTTGTGACTTAATCATTCTAGGAATTATTTCATTATTATTCACCAATTATTTCCAACTATATTTAAAAAGCTGAAAATAATACAAAAATGGAAGGATGGAAGCATCTCCCAGACAGATAATGCAACCTACAAAATAAATCACTATCTTTCTGTTTTCTTAGTGCAATGCCCAAAGCATGGCATAATCTTTCATTGGTGTATAGAGGATCTGAGACAATGTTTTTTAAATTCTAGTTTTAGTTTTCTGTGAACTCAGTTGAGAATTTCGAATTTTGCATTCCCTCTCAATGTTAGGAAGGAGGAGGACTGAGAGAGACTGACAGCTCAGCGCCCCGAGAAGAGGGGTGCTGGCAGCAGCATGGGTCTCATGCCGACAGTGATGCTGCTCCCGTATGGGACACCCAGCGCATCTTCCCATGATGATGCACTACTTGAGTTCTCACGCTCCAAAAAAATGACATAATATATTTCTAAGGATGAAGATTAAATACTATACTTTTATCCATGTAGTCATTAGGCAGCAAGGACTTTTATTATACACTATTTTGCTGTAAAGATATGTTTTGTTTTATTAAAGGATTTAAAAATTATTTTTAATAAGTGTGTACTTTATACGACATGAACAATTTTGCAGGAATTAAATTCTTATTAAAAATTAGCATGGTTTCGTTTCCCCATCCCTTAATTCTACTGTACTTTCTTGGTAAAATGGTTTAAAAAATGAGACAAACAAGCAAACAAAACCCCAAAACAACTTTCACTTAAACAAATAAATAAACAGACAAACTAAAAAAGAGTCCACTGAAGCCAAAGAACAAATTCTTTGACTGTCAAAGATTCTCCTACAGCAGCTTACTCCATTTCTAGAGTGCTCAGGAAATGGGAGCACATTTTAGGACACAAAAATAGACAGCAGATGCTACATAGGTCTTAGAGGTGAAAAGCCCCCAACAAAATCCACAACACAACAAAACAGTAAAAAGAAACATCTCATGGAAGTCAAAGGAAAACAATCTTGCTGTGTGTCCTCGAGCCAGTTCTGGCTCCTACTGACCCCACAGGACAGAGCAGAACAGCACTTTAACGTGTAACCCGGACGGACAGCAGCACAGATGGCCCAGCTTTCTTCTGAAGAGCAGCTGGTAGGTTGGACCCTGGCCTTGAGCTGGTGACCACTGTGTCACCAAGGCTACTGTACACAATCTGCGAAGGTTTTGCAGTGCTCTGTGTTCTGTGATGCTTCATAGTGTACAAGTCCTTTCACAGACACTGGATAAGGTTTTATGTTGTAGGATACTGAAGTTCTGATGGCACAGTGAGTGACGCACTGGGCAGCTAACCACTGGGGTTGTTGGGAACAAGGCAGCCTCCTTCTGTAAAGACTTACAGCCTAAGAAACCTGATTGAGGGCTACTGGGAGCCGAAACCAGCAGGACCGTGGTGGCTTTGGGTTTAGTACATGATAATAATATTAAGTGAAAAGGTTAAGCTATATGTCCAGCATTGTGTAATTAACATAAATAAAAGAGTAAGGGACACTAATTCAAATCATAGGGCTTTCTACTATCTCATGATGCCTGATCTGGCCCAGTTCCTATGAGTCACATCTGCAAGTTGGCACTACAGTGAGAGCAGAGACAGCGACCATGCAGGAAATGAACCCTGAGACGAGAGGAAGCTGGAAGCTTAGTGGTGAAGCTGCACGTCAACTCAAAGGAAGGCGGTTCAAAACCACCAGCTGCTGTGAGGGAGAAAGATGGGTAATCTCTTTCTGTACAATTTACAGCCTCTGCAAGGCTGCTATTGGTTCAGCTATGGGTTTGTTCCAACTCAAAGGCAATGAAAGAGAGAGAGGAAAAAGAGAAAAGAGTCATTGAGAGTAACTCCATGGAGATAACTCAGGAGTGGTCAGAAAGCCATGATCACCAGGAAGGAGGCACACTGCTGACCCACTACTTAGCGAACTGACTGGGATATTAGAAATGAGCTTCTCTAAATTCTCTAAATTCTTTTGAATCATCATATTCTACGCTGACAAAGAACCTTCCACAGAGTTTACCTGGTGCTGGTGAGAGCTCTGTATGAAGTTTATTGGAGGCTCGCTTTGCTTACTCTTCAGCCTGAGGATGTTGTCGGCGTAGCCCCAGCTCAGGATGGCTGACCACTGGATGTCCGTGCTGTTCATGCTCCGCACGCCTTGGGGAGGACAGTCAGTGCATCAGACAGGGGACCTCACACTGTGCATCTTGGAGCCTCTGAAAGTCTACAAAATCCCGGCATGCTACCGGTGCTCTGTGAACCAAGCATGTCTAACATATGCTTCCAATTTCTTCTCCCAGCTGGACAAGCTGCATGACCTCTTTACAGAAAAAGCAACTTCCAACAGTGACTATGCTCAGGGCTGACCAAGGGGAGGGGATCCCAGGCAGCCGCGGCCCGTGGGAGGAAGCCCAACTCACGCAGGACCAGCCATGAGTCTGGACAACACACTTCTGCTCTGATGTGCATGTGCTGTTTTGAGCTAGGCTACCAGTGGCTCCTGTTGCCCAAGGTCTCGTCTGTGACAAGTGAGCAGGGACAGCTCTCTTGCATTTAGTGACAGGATTCATGCAGAAGGGCTGAGGGCTCACTTTGCTATTGTTGGGTGCCCCGGAGTTGACAACGACTCACAGTGGGCCTATGAAGAGCAGAGCAGAACTGTGCCCTCTCCATCCCCACCCTCACCGCCTTGAATACGCCTGAGCCCTGTATTGTAGACACTGCTAATCCACCCTGGTGGGGATCTACCACCCTCAGCTGACATTTGTCCACACAAAGAAGCTCTCTGAAGTATGCATCCTGCGACTGCTGCTGGTGAAACGTTGTGTGATGTCACAGAAGGAAGCCTTGGCAGGTGGCCAGACTTTTACAACCCACTTCCAAGCCCATCTTGACTTCCCTGCTTAGTCTGCTTGTTTGAATCCCAGTCTACATCCTGCAGGACAAACATATCTGTTCTGGGTTCCAGTTTAATGCAAATGCCCATAGAAATGGCATTCTTCTTCTGGGAGGTAACCATTTATGAGTTTTTAAAAATTTTATTAATTTTTTTACCATTTATGCTTTTCCCTCTTCAAATCCATCTTTCTCATTTTAAATGACAATATAATTCCTGTTGTCTTCATGTCATATGCTTTAACTCATACAGTGTAGTAAATAACTATAATTCAAGCCATTATTCACTAAGAACTTAGAAACTTGACAAATGAAATAAGAGAGCAGCCAGATGAGCCTGGAACATTCAAATCTCATGGAAGACCCGCCCAGGATGGTTTTCACGATGCACTCCTTTTACCTTGCTCCTTGCTATATGTCATCAGGAGGCAGAAGTTTTTGGACAAGCCGCAGATGGCTCGGGTGGGCAGGGCCTGCAGAGAGCCAAACATTTCCCCATGGGGCTGGCTGAAACAGACCACGGGCATGGGGGCGCTGGGCGAGCCCACATACTCCCCCCACTTCAGGCCTTTTATCCACGGCAAAGGACTCTGAAAGCAAGGAAGGGAAAATGGTGTTTTGTTTTTGTTTTTTTTAAATGGTAGTGAAAGCCAGGTTATTGTAAATTTAAATTCAAGAATTGGTTTATACTATTTTATACCCTTGTGCTTTGCATACAGAAATATGTGCTCCTTTTTATTCTGTGTCACTCTTGCTTACATGAGAATGTTTGAAAAGTCACAATTCCTTGAAATTTGGATAGAGAACCAAGATTTACAAGAATATTTCTTTTAAGCTAGTTGAATTACCATAACCTTAACTAAAGTTGTTATCTAGAGGAGAACAATAATGTGATAGTTTAAAAGTCATCTGTCAGGGAGCTCTGGTGGCCTAGTGGCAAGAAGCTGCACTGCAATCCCAGAGGTATGCAGTTTGAATCCACCAGATGCTATGCTGGAGAAGGAGGGGCAATCTCCTGTACCGGGCAGATCTCTCTCTCTCTCTCTCTCTCACACACACACACACACACACACTCTCTCTCTCTCTCTAATAATAAAAGAAGTCATGTCTGTCTGTCTATCTATTGATCTATCAAGAAAGAGAGAGTTCTGGCAGCCTACTGCTAAGGAGCTGTGCTGCGAACCCAAAGGCACCTGGTTGAAATCCACCAGCTGTTCCATGGGAAAAACATGAGCAATCTCCTCCCATGTGATTTACTGCCTCTAACAACACCCTGGAGGATCAGCTGCAAGTTGGTTTCAAATCAACGGTACATAACAACAGCAACAAAACAGAGAGAGATAGTTATTTGCTGTTGAGTCTCTACTTATGGTGGTCCTAAAGGATCAGGGCTCCTGGGGCTTCCTGGCAGAATTCCAGCTCTTTCCCCACAACAGCTGGCGGCCTGTAATTGTCAATCCTCTGTTAGTAAGTCACTAGTGTGCCATGCACATGGTTATTAGAAATCAAGACTATTCAAACATCCAGTGCACACAGGCCATTCTTCAGAAAAGTCCCTACTCTTGGACATAAAGCAGGCCTTGATAAATAAATTTAAAAAACACTGACATAAAACATTGAGTCTGGCCAAAATAATAGAAAACTAGAAATCAGCAACAGAAAGAGCAAGGAAAAAGAATTACATATATAGAAAAGAAGTAATACCTTAGTTAGAAACAATTTCCTCACAGAAGACATTTACAGAATGTTATGAAATATTATATCCTAAGAAATTTGGAAACCAAGAACAAATTGACAAATTTGTAGCAACACAGCATCTACATAATCCAACATAAGCAGAACTAGGAAACCTAAATGGACACATAACTAAAGATGTCATTAAACTAAAGATGCCCAATAACAAGAAAGCCATCACTCTGACAGCTCCAATGGAGAATTCTACCAAATATGCAGAGAAAATTATACCCAAACTACTTCAGAACATAGAACAGAAGGAGAGCTCCTATTCACTCTGTGTTTCTGACACTGCCACGCACATCCCAGCTGTTTTTATTCCTGGCATGGTCCTCTCCTCTTATTTGCAAATAATCCCATGGGGTGAGGCTCTTCCCAGCAAGAAGCCCTCTGTTCCCTGAGGAAGGCTACCCTCTGACATAACTACTCTCTTCACTGCATGCTTCCTGTTAGGAGTTAAAGAGGCTTCTGTGGAATCCTGAAGGCCTGAGACTGGCTCAGGATAGGGCAGAGCTCAGGGTTATTGTTTATAGGGTAAGACTGGATGACACCTAACAACAATAACTGAAGGTCAGGTGACATACCGGGTATGTGACTTCTTTGACTGGTTCCCGGGTCTCCCGGAAAGCAAGCTGTACCAGCAGGCCCACGGCAGCAGGCAGCTCCCCCTCGAGGCCCAGCCTGGCTCCGGCCCGGCTGGCGTGCGCTGTGTGGAACAGCTGGCGAGGTGTCTGGCCGTAGGTTTTGATCATGGTTTCCAGGGCTCGTCTCTGAACAGGATCCTCAACTGCAGATACGTCCATTCCAAAGTATGTCTGACGTGCAGGGGTAGAGAACAGGAAATATGTGTAAGGCAAGATTCCGCAATGAAACAACTACTCCTGCTTGTCCCAAACAAAAAAACCTCCAACAAAACAAGAATTTGTTTTATTCTTGTGTTGTTTGTCCAAAATGACATAAAGCAAAAATGAAGTTGCAATATTTGTAGGGAGGTAAAAAGCATTAAGCTCTAGTGGCAACAACATGTGAAGCTAACTAGCAGTAGTGAGTCACCACGCTCCATGGTGCACAGGACATCTCTGAGCTCTAACCTCCGCTCTCCCTGGTGCACTGGGCATCTCTGAGCTCTGACCCCCACTCTCCCTGGTACACTGGGCATCTCTGAGCTCTGACCCCCGCTCTCCCTGGTACACTGGGCATCTCTGAGTTCTGACCCCTGCCCTCCCTGGTGCACAGGGCATCTCTGAGCTCTGACCCCTGCTCTCCCTGGTACACTGGGCATCTCTGAGCTCTGACCCCCGCTCTCCCTGGTGCACTGGGCATCTTTGAGCTCTGACCCCCACTCTCCCTGGTGCACAGGGCATCTCTGAGCTCTGACCCCCGCTCTCCCTGGTGCACTGGGCATCTTTGAGCTCTGACCCCTGCTCTCCCTGGTGCACAGGACATCTGTGAGCTCTGATCCCCTCTCTGTCTGGTGTATCTCTGAGCTCTGAGCTCCTTGTGCACAGGGCATCTCTAGCCCTGCTCCTGGTATATTGGGCATCACTACATTCTACTTCTTTGTGCTGCTGACTTGTCAAGAGACAGAGAGCCATGTGCATTTTCACTTGCTTCTCTTCTAAAGGGAGGTCTGGTGGCCTACTAGTAAGGAGTTGTGCTCTTAACCAAAAAGCATGCAGTTCGAAGACACTAGGTGCTGTATGGGAGAAAGAAGGGCAGTCTCTTTTGTTTGATTTACAGGCCCCGAAAACCCACTGGAGGGTCTGCTATGAGTTGGTTCTGACTCAATGGCACTCTGCAGTTTTTCAAGGGAGCAGTAGCAGCTGGGCTCGAATCTGCCATGCTTTATGCAGTTCATCTGAACAGTTTAGCTGTGATATTTAATCACAGAGAGTTCATTTGCATATCTAAAAATAACATTCTGTAAGTACCAAAGCCAACTTTTAAGGGTACTCTGAGCTCTCCCCCACTGCTCCTCAACACTTGTTTCTTGGGCTGTTCATTGCTTTCTATTTCCCCCCACATCATCTGAAAATGGGAAGCTCTTCAGGGGCTCAATTTCTACATGAATGAGCAGGCTCAGGAGGCCACTTGAGCAGCTTCTAGCTGGTTTCTGAAATGGTTGCTCTCAATGACTGAGAGACAGGGCTATCCTGGGGTCCTGGACTTTTCACCTTCAACAATCCAGAGGTGCTATGCAGCCTGTGGGTAGGAAGTCCCTGATGGCTGCCAGATCCATGAGGGCCAAACAGGCAAGGGGGACACTAGGGTTGTCTTTGGTATATTGTTTTACAGTCACTTGTTCATGACCTTTTAGTTCCACCCTCAATGTCTGATTATCCACTCATTCCATATTGTCTGTCCTGTCTCCCATCTTGATTTTCTACTCTTCTCCTCTGTTCTACCTGGAAACCACACTTGAACGGTTCTGTGTGTAAACCTTTCATTAGCTTTTTCTACCAAGGGTCGTATACAGTGTCTGTCCTTTGTGGTTGACCTCTTTGACTTGGCATAACATCCTCTAGGTTTATCCATGCTATGCAGCTTTTCACATATTTTTCACCATTTTCCAGCAATGCACAGAACTCCAGTGTGTGAATGTGCTACAGTTTCCCCATTCTTTCATTGACGGGCACCAGGTGGTTTATCTTCGCTACTGTGAAAAGTGCTGCAACAGAGGTGGGGGTGCATGGATCTACATTGCAGCTCTCATTTCTTTAGTTATGCATCTCATTTCTTTAGTACATATGTCAGTCTGGAGACTAAAATGCACCTGATCCAGGCATGGTCTTTACAATTACTTGCTATTCATCAGAAAGCTGGACAATGATTAGGGACAACAGAAGGCGAATTGATGCCTTTGAGCTGTGGTGCTGGAGAAGAATATCAAATATACAATTCACTGTTAGGAGAACAAACAGATTCATTCTGGAGAGGGTCAGACCAGGCAGCTCCTTGGAGGCAAGAACACATTGCAAGGCAGGACCAGTCCTTGGAGAAGGATGTCATGTTTGGGAGGGTGGAGGGACAGCACAAGAGAGGAAGACCCTTGATGAGATGGATTGACTGGGGTAATGGGATGTGTCAGAGATAATAAGTTGGCACAGGATAGAGCAGGGTTTAGGGCAGTTGTACATACGATCGCTATGAGTCACAGGCAACTCAATGGCACATAAAAACAACAACAACAACAGCAGCAGCAGCAACAACATATATACCTAGTAGTAGGGAGCTCTGGTACTCTAGTGTTGAGAAGCTGTGCTGCAATCCTAAATGTATGTGGTTTAAATCTACTAGCTGCTCCTCGGAAGAAGAATGGGCAATCTCCTCCCATGCGATTTACTGCCTCTGAAAACCTGCTAGCGGGTCAGCTATGGGTTGGCACTGACAGCAAATAACAATCATGACCTAGTAGTGGGATAGCTGGATCAAATGATATTTCCAACTTTTTGAGGAAATGTCAAATTACTTTCCATAGCAGCTGCACCATTTTACAGTCCCACAAAAGTACAGTGTACAAAAGTTCCAATCTCTTCACATCCTAGCCAGTACTTGTTACTGTCCTATAGAACTTTGCAACTGTTGCTGGGGTGAGATGACACCTCACTGTTGTTTTGATGTGATGGCATAGTCTTTAGGGAGCTTTGCTGCTATCCCAAAGGCGACATCTCTTCAGCAGTTCGAATCTACCAGCTGTTCTTCAGGATAAGGATGACCTATCTCCTGTGTGATTTACTGCCTCCAAAAACCCAGCAGAAGGTCAGCTGTGAGCCAACTCAATGGTTTACAACAACAAGGCCTTGGGAAGGGAGCTCTGGTGGTGTATTTGTAGGGAGCTGTACTGCTAAACCAAAGGCAGTATCTCTCTAATGTCTGAATCCACCAATTGCTCCAAGGCAGAAAGATGAGCAATCTCTTCCTGTGTGATTCACAGCCTCTGAAAACCCACTGAAGGGTCAGTTCTGACTTGATGGCAATGAGTTTGAATTTTGTTGAATTTATATCCCCAAGGTTAAGCAAAAATGTATAGTAGACTCAATTGTCTTCTACATAACTAAGGATGACAGAAAAAAAAATTAATGCCTTCATGCTGTAGTGTTAAAGAAGAGTACTGAACATCTCATTGATGGTCAAAAGAACAACACGTCTTGGAGAAAGTGCAGCCAGCGTGCTCTTCAGAGGCAAAGAAGGCAAAATTTCATCTCACATACTTTGGGCTTATTGCTAGGAGAGGCTATTTCTTGGAAAGAGGCATTATCATGCTTGAAAGGTAGACAGGGTCAGTGAAGGAGAGGAAGACCCTGAACGAGATGGACTGACACAGTGACTGCAGTAATGGGCATGATGGCACAGGGTTCTGATCTGTTGTTCACAGAGTTGCTATAAGTCATACACAACTCAGTGGCACCTAACAACAACAACAACTGCTGAGTCCTGCAAATCCTTCTGAAAGCTGTGCCTCCATTTCCAATAGGTAAAAACTTATTCTGACAAAAACACAGAATATGAAATCTCGGGTATCAACAATTCAGGATTGACTGCTCAGGCGTGTCTCGTGCAGGCCATCTCTGGTGGCTCACCTATCCAGGGCACCTGGACGAACACACCTGCATGTCTGCTTTGTAAGGAGCAGCTTAGGCCTGCGCACACAGGGCCGGCAAGCCAGGTGACAACGACAACATCCTGTGTGAAGCTGGCATGCTTCCAAAGTGTCACCTACCGCGGGGTGGAAGACATTGATGGCTTGGACAGAGGCCTTCCCCTTCTGTTTGTACCCGAACACCAGGTCAATCCACTGGCAGATGTTCTGGGAAACACAGTCAGACTCCAGGGCCTGGCGATGAATGAGGATGAAAAGCCGAGGGTCGTTGCGTGCCCATGGTGGGAGGTTCACGTGATTGACCCGCTCCCCATTCTGACGCACTCCGAAGTCAAAGCCTGAGAGAAGAGACCGACATGAACATGTAACCCAATGACAGCAAAATGTGTCAGGCCCATGGAGGCATTCTCAGCATCTACAGAGACAGGCAATTGTGTGCTCGGGTGAGAAGGGTTACAAAGAACTACCCTTTGAGGGAGACACATCTTTGTCAGTCTACCACCTACTGACAGGGCTTGTGAAGTTTAATGCTGTGTGTCAAGGTGGCCATGGTTTTCTCTATAATGTAACTATTCTTTATGTTGTGAACTCTAACCTTGATGGCATTAACAATGGAGCTCTGGTAGCTCAGTGGTAAGGAACTATGCTGCCAACCCAAAGGCATATGGTTCAAATACACCAGTTTCTCCATGGGGGACAGATGGCAGTCTCCTCCCATGTGATTTACAGCCTGTGGAAATCTGCTGGAGGGTCAACTACCGGTGGGTTCCAACTTGGCTACATATAACAATGTGATGTTAATGACAAATAGATTAGAAGGGCTTCTGTAAAGATACAATCAGCTTTTTCTGCTTAAGAAGAAATCTCAGGGGAGTGGCCTGAACGGAGTATTATTTGGCTTCTCTGGCAAAAAAGCTAGGATATACCTTGCTATGGACTGTGGTCTCCAGACTTGAACTTGTGGCCTGGCATACCTGTCGATTTTGGACTTGTCAGTGTCTAAAGCAAGCTATCTGCAACTCTGCTCTCTGACAGTGATCTCAGACACGCAAGCGCCTGAGGCCAGCAGCCTCTGAAGTCAGCAGCCTCTGAAGTCAGCAGCCTGCGGCCCTGCCTGCTGACCACTTGGACTTCTGAGCCTCCCCAGACAGCTCTCTCTGGAGGTCTGACCTTCAGACCTGGAATCTACAAGCCTCTACATAAACTAGTTCCATGAAAGAAATCTTTCTTTCTCTCTACAAATAGGCTTCACTGGTTTTCTTTCTCTACAGAACTCAGCCCAAGAGTTTGCCAGATGCATTGATAATATTTAATTCAATTAGAGGGAATTCAGTGATACAATCATAGTGAGCTGCACTGCTAACTCAAAGACCTCATGTTTTAGGCAGTTTGAATGCACCATGTTTATTTCCAGAATAAGTGTTTATTTAAGAAAAACCACAAAACTTTTCCAGAAAGTTTTAAATTAATGTACACTACTGAGGTTTTTGTTTACTCAAGTAGACTAATTAAACATTAGCAGTTAGTTCATGTATATCACAGAAGAAGACCTAATTCCATGTGAAGAGATATGTCACATTGTCCACTAGAATACTTAGTAGAAGGGAAGCCAGAACAAAGTGGAAGCCTCACTGTAACATTAATAGACTTTGATAGCTTATTCTAGAAAAAAGAATGCTTTGTGTTGATTGGGGTTTTTAAACTATAGGAATTCTTTCCTAAAAGAAGTGTAAACCTCTGAATAAAAGTTGTTTTGTGTCCTACTTTTTATAAACAGAAGAGTTAAACCTAATATTAGAAACAACAGAAAAAGGAACCTATTAGAAGCTGACATAGCCTTGAATGGAATGAGGTTACATATGCCTAACTTGTCTTGTTTAAACGCCTGGAAGGCTTTTCAAACTGGAAAGGATTCTGACATGATACGATGTGTAATATAAGTCAAAGGCCTGCCCTGGGTGCAGGTGAGAGTGCCGGTGGTCCTTCTGCGGAACAGCCACACAGGAGTTCACGATGGCCTGGCTGAACCCTGAAGACTGCTTGTGGCTTTGGGAAGAGACATAGGACTTTAGGGGCCAAGATGTGAAAGAGAAAAAAAAAAGATGTGAAAGAGGCCTCCAGAGGCTGGGGCTTGGGAAGGGGTAGCATTGGGGAGGGAGTGACACCGGGGAGAAGATAGTCTGGGGGGATAGGGTAAGGGAGGGGGTGACACTAGGGAAGGGATGGCATTAAGGGGGGGATGACACCAAGGAGGAGGTGGCACTGAGGAAGAGCTGATACTGGGGAGGGGATGATGCTGAAGAGGGGGCAGCACTGGGAAGGGGATGGCACTGGGGAGAGGATGGCACTGGGGAGGAGGCACGAGGGAGGAATCTTTGTAAACATCACAGCTTTCAGGCACACTGTCGTTCTCATGCACAGCAGGCAGAGATGAAAGCGGAGGAAGAAACTTCTAGAAGTGGTACAGGAAGTGACAGGATGTACATCACAGCAAGTTATTGTTTCTAAAAATGACTGCAGCAGTGTCTCCTGCCTGGCTTACTTTTCCAGAATCTTACCACTCCCTCACCAAGTGGTGTGTGACCTGGGCAGGCACGTGTGACTGCCCCCTTGTGCAGGACGCAGTGAAGTGATGCAGTGTGACCTGCATGCCTAGCCCCACTCCCCCTCCGTGGCCAAGCGGTTTCTGCCTGTCTGTCTCTTGGACACTAGGCTAGCTGAGGCCAGTGTGCATTGAGCAAACCCAGGGAAGGCCACGTAGAGACAAGGAGAGCACCGCTGGGACATGGAAACAGCTATGTCAGCTCCAAGCTACTCTTCCTGCAGCTGCCCAGCTCCAGCCAGTTGGAGTGTAAACACTTGAGGGTCCTGAGCCCAAACCTGGCTGAACCATCCTTGAATTTCTGACCCACAAAATCTGCAACAGACAATCAGTTTGTCGTCATTTTAAGTCATGAAGTCTAAGAGTTATTTGTCATGCTGCAGATATTGGTAAATGCCATTAAGTTGAGTATGACTCACAGTGACCCCACGAAACAGACACGAACCCTGCCCTATCCCGTGCAATAGACACACCCAAAAAAATACTAAACAGAGAAAACAGGTAATAAATTTAAACACGCATCCCAAATGGAGAGGCACCAGGCATGATCCCCACTTAACAAAACACCAAACCCACCCACTTAAGTTGATTCCAATTCACAGTGAGTTGAGGGCAGACCAGAACTGCCAGAAAGGGTTCCCAGACCATATTCGTTCCAGAGGCAGAGGGCCATAGCCTTCTCCTGCAGAGTGACTTCTGGGCTTGAACCACCGGCTTTTGAAAGGGCAGCAGTTGAGATGTAACCACTGTTACCAGCAGGCTCCCAACCCCAATTATATGTGCTGACTTCCAGCGGAGACAGCTCTCACGTGGGCAACTATGCAACATGCTCCAAGGAAGCGGCAACAAAGACCAAATGAGGCTCCAAAATGACTCCAGAGTGGGTGATTAGTATAGGACCAAATGCCACAGAAATTTGCCCGACATTAACTTCCTTCAAGAGAACACTTCAATTTCCTATATTCCTCAGGGCCACATAAAATAGGAGATTAAAGAATGTAGAGAAACTCCCAAAGGTTTAAATAATCTTCTAGAAAAGAATGAAGGTTGGTTATGCAGCACTAACATATAACTTCACTTCATCCTTCTGGGGTGTCCCTGGGTGGTGCAAAGGGGTCCCATGCTTGGCTGCTGTCCAGGAATTTGGAGAATCAAGACTACCCAGAGGCACCTTGCCAGAAAGCTCTGGTAATTTATTTCTGAAAAATCCACCATTTAAATCTCAGCAGGGCCAAGTTCTGCTCTGACACACGTGCGTGTATTCACAAATCAAAACTCATCTGAAGGCAAGTGGGTTTTTAATTTCTTCCTCGTCATTTTTCAGAAAATCATGGCTTTAAATTTTCCTCCCACTAAATTCATGCTTTTTAAGACATAATTAGTATATTGTAAATTTAGGGAGCTCTGGTGGTCTAGCGGTAAGAACCTGTGCTGCAATCCCAAAGGTATATGGCTCAAATTCACTAGCTGCTCTGCAGGGGAAGACGGGCAATCTCATTCTGTGCAACCCACTGAAGGGTCAGCTCTGAGTCAGTTCCTACTCAATGGTACATAACAACAACAACAATATACATACATAAATTAAAAAAGAGCAACATAATTATTGCTATAAAATGAAATATTTACAGATAATTTCAAGAATTATAAGTTAAAATGATCTATTTCATTCTATAAAATACTTAATCTTTTAAGCTCATTTGGAAACAAAATTAAATAGTTAATAAAGCTTTTTCTCTTATTTGGGGATGCAAATTTTAGGATTTAGAAAAACTATTTTTGGAAAACTATTATCAAATAATTACAAAACCTCTAACATAAAAATAAGATAATATGTGCATGAATGACTAATTAAAAACAACATGGCTTGCAAACTTTCAAATCACAATTTAAGTTTTTAAAGAAAGGTAAATATTAGAAACTATTTACAGTTATACCTTCCCGGTTAACTAAGAACTCTGGAAGATAGAAGAACTCTGGGATAAGTTCCTTCACGTCAGTCATGGATTCAAAAGATGACAAGCGCCAAGTCGTGTTTGTGGAATGAAAAGTTCTGTCTGGGATGTCAAAGCTCTGATCTAGAAAGAGAGAAAAAGACTATAAGACACAAATACCCAATTCCTTTTGAAGCTTATCATCATTACTCTGTATCTACCATGTCATAAGGATTAAGAAAAGTTTTATTTTAGCTTGTGAGTATTTTAAATGAGGTTACTCATTTTTGAAGATAACAATTTATATAAATTATTTTTATAATAATTTATAACATTATATTTTATAATAGTATAAACTATTACTACATGACTATATGTATCTATATGTTGCTATGTGCCATCAAATCGCTTGTAACTCATAGTGACCCTATGTACAACATCCCTGAACCATGCCTGCTCAATGCTTTGCCAACCTTATTGCCTCTGACAGACCTACTCTCATTACCCCAGTCACTGAATTAATCCATCCCATCGAGGTGTTCCTCTCCTATGCTGTCCCTCCACCTTCCCAAGCATGATGTCCCTCTCCAAGGACTCGTCCCTCCTTGCAACATGTCCAGAGTATGTCGGACCAAGCTTTAGAATCCTTGCCTCCAAGGAGCAGTCTGATTTCACCCTCTCCAGGATGAACCTGTTTGCTTTCCTGGCAGTCTATTCAATACTCTTCTCCAGCACCACAGCTCAAAGGCATCAATTCTCTTTCTATCATAACTAGACTAATTCATGTCACTTATCCATTTAACCAAAGCAAAGTATTATAATGGAATGTTCAGAGAGCTGGAATTGGAGAATAAAAAGGGAAAAACTCGCTCTGCATTTCTCAAGCTGAAAGAACTGAAAATTTAAGCTTTGAGTTGCAATATTGAAAGATGCTATGGGCAATATACTGAATGACCCAGAAATCATCAAAAGAAGATGGAGGGGTTACAAAGAGACACTGTACCAGAAAGAATCGATTGACACTGAAAAATTTCAGGAAGTACCATATGAACAGGAGTCAAAGAAAGAGAAAGTGGAAGCTGCATTGAAGACACCAGCAAAAAGTAAGGCCCCATGAATCAATGGGATACCAATTGACTTGTTTCAATGAATAGATACAGCCTTGAAGGCACTCACCAGTCTAAGCCAGAAAATTTGGAGGATGGCTGTACGGCCAATGGATCGGAAGAGCTCCCTATTTGTTCCTATTCCCAAGAAGGATGATCCAGCTGAATATGGAAATTATGAACAATATCACTGATAACACATGCAAGCAAAATACTGCTGAAGGTCATTCAAAAATGGCTGGAACAGTACATAGATAGGGGGTTGCCAGAAGTTCAAGTGGGATTTAGAAGAGGCTGTGGTACCAGGGATATCACTGCTGATGTCAGCTGGATCCTGGCTGAACGTAAGGAATACCAGAAGAATGTCTATTTGTGCTTTATTGACTATGCAAAGGCATTTGACTGTGTGGATCATGGTAAGTAGTAGCTGACATTGAGAAGAATGGGAGTCCCAAAGCACTTGACTGTGCTCATGAGGAACTTACACCTGGATCAGGAGGTTGTTGTGCAAATGGAGCAGGGGAGCACTGCATGGTTTGGAATTGGGAAGGGAGTGTGCCAAGGTTGTATTCTATCTCCATACCTGTTTAATCTACATGCTGAGCAAATTATCCAAGAAGATGGACTCTATGAAGAAGAATATGGCATCAGGATTGGAGGGAGACTCATCAATATCCTGTGTTATGCAGATGATAC